GCAACGAGTTTTCGCGGGCGAAATGTCGCGGTGCCCAATTTTTTATTTAAGAAATTGCCGGATAAGCATTTTGCCAGTTTCCAAGAAATTTCTCATTTTTCGACTTTGTCGTAACTTTTCGGAAATTTTTTTTTCAGTAGCTACTAAAATTGGTAACTGAACGAATCTGAAATGCTTATGGTAAGCAAAGCCGTTTAATCGGAGCGAAAAAAACAAAGACCGCCATTTTGTTGGCCCATTCGGTAAAAAGGGCGAAAAGTAGAAACGCATTGCTGAGTACAAAACGTCAGGTTGCTAGTCAAATTGCTGCCCGATCTTCTGGAAACTTTGCTGTGAAGGATACATGGCTTTAAAGTAGGAAACGAAATCAATTTCACTTTTCAGTTGATAGCACTTTCCAATAATTTTATACTCAATTTTAATATTTTTGAAATTTATTTAAAAATCGAAAACAAGTGCCATGAATCTGATATAAGAAATCTCAAATGACATATGAATCTGTATGTTGGAAGCCATAGTCGCGACCGATTACTTCGGCCGCATGCGATCACTTCGGCCAAAGTTCATTTCAGCCGAGGTTCACTTTGGCCAGCACTAATTTCGGTCACCGCTTGTTTCAGCAATAAGACATTTGGCCATCTTAAATTTCCCAGGTTCTCCTAGTTTTCGTATGTTGCTTCGGTTTTCTTAGGCTTCTTACGTTCTTTTTCGTTTCTTGGCTTCTTAGGTTTTTTTGATGACTTAGGGTTCTTAGGTCATTCTTAGGCACAGTAATTCAGAAGAAGTTCTTTTCAATCTTTTGTTAATCTTAAGTTATTCGAAAAGTTATGGTACCATCGAAACGTAGTTAAATCGAAAGTAACGTTTTCTTGCTCAAATTCGACCAAAATAACGTCGGCCGAAATAAACTGCGGCCGAAGTTATCGTCGAAGTGAATGGCGTCCGAAAAATTTTGGCCGAAATGAAATTGGCCGAAATGAAAACGGCCGAAGTGATCGGTACCTAAAAACAGCGCACCCGTGATACGAATCAAGTATCAAAAAAGGAGGTGAATGTTCATTTCCGCCCGTAACGCGACACAAGATAAAGTCGTTACTGCGAAAAATGCGGTAAAGCAATAAGAATTAAATTATTCTTTTAATAGAGCAGTAACGAACCGAATTATGTCTTGCTTGTAGCTGAATTACTACAAGCTAGCTAGCGGAAGTCTAAGCACCGAATGCAACGAAGTCAAATGCAATGAAGTCTAATGCAATCATAAAATCAGAGTAAAATTTAAAAAATAACTGATGAAAATTGTTTCGCGCGAAGCCCACGCATGGCTTTGTAGTAAATTGTGGGCACCCCGACAACTCGCTGAGGACAATTTCTCGCTGTTTTTGACTTCTTTAACAGAACTAACCAACATGTTACTATGTTTAGGGAAATCTGTTGCACAAACTTTCCCGCCGCAGGGGGCAAGACCAAGGAGAGTTTGTAGTGATAAAATTTAAGCATGCCGGCTTGTGACTATGTACGTGGATGCATTGTGGCTCTTTGGAGGTTCTATGGTGATTCTATGTGGTTCTATGGGCGCCAGAAAAGAGGGCTAGTATGGGAGTACGCCGGTTTGTGACTTTGCACGTGGTTCCATTGTGGTTCTATGGTGGTTCTATGGAGGTTCTATGGTGTTTGTATGTGGTTCTATGGCCTCAGAAAAGAGGGCTAGTATGGGAGTACGCCGGTTTGTGACTTTGCACGTGGTTCCATTGTGGTTCTATGGTGGTTCTATGGAGGTTCTATGTGGTTCTATGTGGTTCTATGGGCGCCAGAAAAGAGGGCTAGTATGGCAGCATGCCCGGTTGTGACTGTGCACGTGGTTCCACTGTAGTTCTATGGTGGTTCTATGGAGGTTCCATGGTGGTTCTATGTGGTTCTATGGGCGCCAGAAAAGAGGGATAGTTTGGGAGCATGCCGGGTTGTGGTTCCATTGTGGTTCTATGGTGGTTCTATGGAGGTTCTATGGTGGTTTTATGTGGTTCTATGGGCGCCAGAAAAGAGGGCTAGTATGGCAGCGTGCTGGGTTGTGACTGTGCACGTGGTTCCACTGTGGTTCTATGGTGGTTCTATGGAGGTTCTATGGTGGTTCTATGTGGTTCTATGGGCGCCAGAAAAGAGGGCTAGTATGGCAGCATGCCCGGTTGTGACTGTGCACGTGGTTCCATTGTGTTTCTTTGGTGGTTTTATGGAGGTTCCATGGTGGTTCTATGTGGTTCTATGGGCGCCAGAAAAGAGGGATAGTTTGGGAGCATGCCGGGTTGTGGTTCCATTGTGGTTCTATGGTGGTTCTACGTGGTTCTATGGGCGCCAGAAAAGAGGGCTAGTATGGCAGCAAGCCGGGTTGTGACTGTGCACGTGGTTCCATTGTGGTTCTATGGTGGTTCTATGGAGGTTCTATGGTGGTTCTATGTGGTTCTATGGGCGCCTGAAAAGAGGGATAGTTTGGGAGCATGCCAGGTTGTGACTCTGCACGTGGTTCCATTGTGGTTCTACGGTGATTCTATGGAGGTTCTATGGTGGTTCCATGTCCATAGAACCAGTAAGTCACTAATGTCCTAACTTGGACATTCTCTCGAAACGAAAATCCATCGTCAAATTAATTTTTGTACAGGCACGGTAAGGACATTTAAAACGGTCAATATTACGTACATTACGGTTTTTCTCGTTCTGTTAAATTCGTGGTTTCGCTACTGTGTTTATTAAACACCATTCTCTGATTATAGCGAGCCTAGCCGTTTGCGATAAAAAGAATTCAACGGGCAGCTCTGCAGTCAATGGGAATACTTCCACTCAGACCGTAAGATATGTTCAAAAAGCGACGCGTTAAGAATTGGCGCGCTAACCAGATCATAATTCGTTACAGAAGGGAGCTGCCATATACGTCAGCGACTTCGCCGTTGACTGCGGCAAGCAGAACATCACGTACACTGCTACCACGGGCACCGCGGACTGCGCCGAAAAATGCCGTAAAAGCAAGGACTGTCGTTACGCCGCCTATGTGGCCGACCGAGCAGCGGAAGACTCCAAATGTAACGTAAACGGGCCGTCAGTTGAGCTATTTCCAGGATTTTCCCAGGAATCTCTTAAAGCTGTCCACTACAACGTAACCGAGGAAGTTTGCTATCAGCAGTTGAAAGGGAAGGATTACTACGAAGCTCTGGAAGCCCGAGCGGCCAAATGCGGTCTCGTATCGTCCAACTATGATTGCAAATTCACCTACCTGAGCCGCCATGGTAACGACGCCATCGTGGGTTTTGTTTACAAAAGTTTTACCGCGCGCACCAACGTGGAAGTTACCGGGGAAATGCTGAAGACAGTATCCGGTGAACCGGTGTTAAAGACCGGGGTTTCGCTTGATTTATGCTGGATGCTTTGCAATCTTCATCCGTCGTGCACCGTTGCTGAGTATTTTAGAGAATATACGGAATATTACTTGAGCCATTCTTGGAGAGATTCTTGCAACCTGTATACTAAAGCGGCAATAGGGAAGGCAATGAACCAGACAGCCCACGGTGTGCAGAACCAACCAGCCAACAGCGTTGTGTTCTTTGCTGTTTGATGTACATCCGGAATTGAGACTTGGTCTGGTGGCGCACTGCAGTTGCCACCAGATGCCGCAACGCTTCAATACGGCCTACTAAAGAAAATACTGCCTCTATTTTACGCATGTTGGCCACACTGCTAACAATTTCGGTTGTTTTTCTAACATTTAAATCTGATCATTTTCTCATAGTCTGTCTCGCGAATGGAAGTACCTTGTTTTTCTACGGTATCTTCTCAATCCACAGATGAAAAAAGAAATGAACTAAAAACAATCGTAGCTACAGAAGCGGAGTAGAGATAGTAAAAGTTGCTAGAAAAAAGCAAAACATAGAGAACCAGGAACAATAAAATTTAATATAAAAGAATCTAATGCACCTCGCAGTGCCGAATTGACACAGTAATGCGTGCACTGGCTCATGGTTGTAACCTTACAGCAGTTGCAGAATGGGAAAACATAAAACCAGCACAATCACTACGTAGAAAATATTTTCATTAACGATCCAAGTAGGGATTTTGATTTAGTATGCGTCCGCTGATTCTGATATACTCGAATCTAGTTTAAACAACACTTCCGTGCACTGGTCTCGTGGATGAGCGAGTGTAGGATTACAGATTACAGGAACGGAAAACGTTTTAAGGAACGCTCCACTGAAACGGGGATGCGAGCCCGTGCCAGTTTAATAATTTCTGTAGTCTTTTCGTCCACGGCGTCTTTGTATCCCTGCCCAACTTTTTCATTCGTTCGATCTGCTCCAGTTCTTTCTGTAACTCTTCCAATGCGTCCGAAGAAATCATAAGCATACCCGCATGTGTTACTGCCAGCCCCACTTGCAGCGCGCCGACCATGGCTGCAGCTGTTGGCAAAACTGGATTGGCAGCACCGGCAAAAAAAACGCTGCAGGCAATCGTTGACACTCCGCCGACCATACCACTACTAACCGTGCTCAGAGCACCCGCTCGTCGTAATCGCAGTGTTTGTATCGCGCCCCCAACTTCGACTTGCAGATCATCTGAGAAAAAGCGAAGATTAAACATTCATCAACAGCAACACGGACGCGCTTACATTTTTCAGACATCAGCGAGTCGACTTTTTGATGAATTTCCGTCGTTAGGAGCTCGATTTCCAGCTTATGAATACCACTAAACTCCAGGTCGGTGATATCGCTCTTTGCGGCTTTATCCATCTCGTTATTCAGCTATCGCATGTCATCCTGTATATCACTTAGCTTTCTGTTCAACCGGTGCCTTTGTTCGGCGCTACGAAATACCAAGTTTTTTGCGTCCTTTATCGCCTCGCAAAACTTATAAGCCTTATAGCCTTCCACAGCAATGGTTATCGCACCACTGACGACTCCTACCCAACGCCAAAAGTGAATCACGTTACTACGGTATTACGACTATTGCAAAACGACCCTCGTACGCCGAAGAAACGACGGTGAGTTGCTTCGTTGAAGCGACACTCGGGGTTTCTTCGCTTCCGCTGTAGTAACATGGTGGTTGAAACAAACCGTAGTGCGACCGTCGTAATTGGCAGCGGTAGCGTAGCGTTGTGGTAACTATGGTCGTGCTGTTCTAGCATATTTTTGCAAGCTACGAAAGCGCTAAAACAGCAGCGTTTGTATAAAATTTATGCGGTATAACAGTCGCAATGACGCGTTGGATGGGGACTGGTCAATCATGGAAATGGGGCCGATGTACCGGCCGGGTACCAATTCAATCAGTTAGTACACCAGTTTCAGTCAAACATTGCTGATTTTTTAATTCCGTTTATTTACAGCGATTCCGTTGGGTATACTGCAGTTGCCGTTTTACAACGCCGATAGTCCGCAGTATCAGAATTATGGTGGTCTTGGTTTCTTGATCGCCCATGAGGTCACTCACGGATTTGACGATTACGGTACCCTTTGGCTCGCACAGTCCATGGCCGTCATAAAAATCAAACGCGCTGCAACGATTGCAGGTGCCGAGTACGATGGTGACGGTTTTAAGAGCAACTGGTCGACCAACGAAACCGTTCGTCGCTACCCACAAGCACTACAAGGAATGATTGCCCATTACAGAAACTATCGCATGCCGGGCGGACAAATGGACGGCAACCGCACCGTGGGTGAGAATATCGCTGATAACGGCGGACTGCGTGCGGCTTATAAGGTAAAATGTCAGTACCGGCATTTAGCGCTTGTTGTGCCCGGGAGGCTGTGATTGACCTTCGGCAGTTTTAGGCTTATGCTCGATATGTCAAGCGGCTGGGTCATCTCGAGCCGCTTCTGCCGGGTCTGGAGAAATTCCATCCTGAGCAGCTGTTCTTCATTTCGTCAGCGCAGATCTGGTGTAATATAATGTCGATGAAGGCCCAAGAAGCATGGATGGAAAGGGAAACACATGCCCCGTCGAAACTGCTAGTGAACGGTGCAGTGGCTAATATGCCGGAATTTGCACAAGCGTCTGCCTGTTCGGCTGGCTTGCACATGCACCCAAAAGTTAAACACGTTGTCTGGTGGTGAACAGGCGCAAATCGATAATCATTTATAAGCTACATTTTATGCAAATGGTATCCCCGCGGCCGTTTTATCGGTTACGGGTACGCGGCACAGTCAGCGGGGTTAGATAAATTGTAATGAAGGCAGAAGGAACGTTTGTCCGCTCCGCGTTTCCTGTTTTTGTTACGCTGAAAAACTGATGTAAAAACAGCTGTTTATTGGTACATCCACGGAACTTCGCGTGTATCGTAGGTTTTTAATATAGGTGTTGCTTTCTCTTACGGTGACCGATTAATCTCTTCATCGGAGCAAAGCCTCAGATTACAGTATATTTCAAAATGTGCCACGATTGTGCGACTTGTGCTCGTTCACTAACCTGGTAAAATTAAAATGAATACTTAGAAGAGTACAAAAGTTTAAGATCATTAGAATGTCACAGTCACATCTGGCCATTTATTTCAACTAAATGACAGCGTTCTCGTAGCCTTTAAATTTGTGTGAGTACAGCATCGATTCCACCGAAAACGGCAGGATTTCATACAAAATGTTTTGCGAATAAGCGTAATTATAATAATACATTATTGTGCCTAACTCAGGTGCATTACAACCAGAAACACAATGACGCGCATGTGGGGTGGATTTATTAAGAAAATCCTTGGTGAACGAATCTGTCCACCGGAAACGAACAAACAACTGCGCTAAAACATCATAGATACAAAAAAGTTCCACAAGGTAATCGACAGAAAGAACGCCTGCCCAGGGCAGGTAAGCCTATAATTACAGAGGCAGTGAAAAGAAAGATATCCATAAATCGCGGGTGCCTGACTAAAAATCAAAGTTTAACGCTGCACAGCCTATCAGTGAACTCTTCAAGTTGGCAGAAATACAGAAGCAGGGAAAGCTGGGAACTGTAACGCAAATCAGGTTTTCCAACTTTCCGTCCCTTCGCTCACTTGTTCTTTCCGCGATAGTTCAATGGGGAACGCGGATCAGAGCGGCGGTCAGCATCGCAATCGAAGCCTGTAACGGTCCTCAAGTTTACGAATTTCATACGGCCTTTTCTGTGTAATGCAATGTGACACCTACAGTGGACACTGGTTACACTAGACAATCGGTCCGAGGACCGATATTTTAACGGCAAGACCAACAGCAGACCAAAATAATCGGTCATGTCCATTGCGCGTAGACTCACATGCAAAACTCAGTCACTTGGAACTTGCACATTTCTTAACGAAAACCATCAAGCGATATTTCAAAAGAATAAGAAAAAAATTCTTAGAATTTTGATACCAAACAAATTGGTTTTTATTACATCTAAGAGAAAATCGAGGCTCCTAAAGTTCCCATAGACATAGCATAGGATTTGAATCCACGGTTTGGTTTGTTTTCACGCATATGCTTTGTCTACGGGAAACTTCAGGAACCTCGATTTTCTCTTAGATGAGACAAAAACGAATTTGTATGGTATTAAAATTCTTAGAATTTTTTTCTCATTCTTTTGAGATATCGTTTGATAGTTTTCGTTGGGAAATGTGCAAGGTGCAAGTGTAAACATCAGCAGGCCGATGGCCAGCACGGAATTGGCTGTCTGAGTACAGATAAGTATCTGGTTGCGCGCGGTTTAAGTGTAACCACATTTATGGTGTCCACTGTAGCACAAGCGAACCACCGGATGGAACACCAGCTATGTGACCGAATTCGGCCGTACCTGTTATGCGCGGTATGTCGTCATCTTCGGAAGGCGTCGGAGCACGGGGCAAGACACGGCGAACTTTGCTCACGCGGCTCCCACCCAGTATCTGGCTGGAAGAGCCTGGTGAATTCTCATCCAGCCTGTGAAAATATTAGGCGACTTGTCTGCATTGGACCATAATGTCATTTTGCAAATCCATGAAAATTTACACGTTCTGGAGCTTTGAGCTATCACACGTACTTGTAAATATAGTCTGCGCTGATGTAACAAAAGCGGAATTCTTTCTATGTAGCAAATAAGACATTTACCCACAGCAATATCGCAATCAATATCATGCCGTTATAAACAGCCAAAAACGTACCCTGAACACACAAGTAAAATGATTGCTAACGTTGAGCAATATTTATAATTATAACATTATTGTTAGAAAAAAAAGAAAACGGTTTGTAATAAAAGGCAGAGGAGAACAGCAAGACCAACCTGGCCAACCCGACGCGGTCCGTATCCGTCCAGCTTCCGGCGTCTTTCAGAGTCCTTTGTGTGCTTAGTTCGCATTGGACACGTGGCTCGGCAGGTTCGCTGACCGACAAGTTAGCCTGAAGACAAAAAACGTTTTTAACGTCAGTGAAAATACTTCTCTATACATATAAACAAATAACAACATTTCGCCGTATTTAAAAATGTATATTAATTATTATCATGTCTACGAAGTAAAGAATTGCCGTTACAGTGCATGATTCGATATCATGTTGCCGGCAGTCTTTGGAAATCATCCAAAACTTACGAAAGACTCTGATACAGTGCGCTCGCTGGACTGGGAAGCGCTTTGTCCAGCAGCGTGTGCAGGTTGGCTGGCAGCAACGGTACGCGTTGGACCCGACACCAAACTGGTCGAGGAACCCTTCCGCATCCGAACGCCATGTTTCAGGTCCATACTGCCGCCGGTGATCTGCTCCGGAATCTGCAGCGCCGAATCTTTTCGTGTGCGCTTACGGCAGATGACCAGGGTGATGGAGGCGGCCTGCATGCGCAGAATTTCATCCGCAGCATCACTGGTTAAATCGGCTCCGATCGATCCGGCTAAGATCAATACACGATCACCCACTTTTAAGCGGCCATCCTTATTTGCCACAGAACCGTCCAGCAACTGGGAGATCTGCAAAATTCCGAATGCTATTCATTGAAGTACGTACGATGTGAGTCAGCCATTGTATCATCGTGAAATCACGTAACAGCTACTGCAGCGTGGAATGGTCTTGCACACATAAAATCCCCTTTTTTGGGAATCTAACTCAGGATGGTGCAATTTAACGTAGGACATTAAACTTTTGGTACCGTTAGGTCTTGGTAGTGATCGGTGCCTCCTCTTAGTCGAATGCCCCACCCTATCCTGGCGGTTTGCGGTCGGTTCAACTTGACAAGCTTGACTGACCAAGCCGCTCCATTAACAAGTCCCTGAGCCATTCGAAGGATCTCCTCCTCACTCGAAGGAGTACTTTGTCCTTGCGACTGCGAAGTAGATGGCATGGAAGCCATACTCGTAGAATCTGCAAACAAAAGGCGAAAGTTAACTTTCAAGTACAGAACCCTGCGTTCCCTGGTCTTCTTGTTTTCACTATGCTACTGCGCTGATTCCACCGTTTCCGATGGACTGCATCGTATTGAGACTATTGACCATACAAATCAACATTCGTTTGCACTACTACACATAAGGAACGCTTCATACGGCTGTCCATTTCCTCCTGCCAGAATAATATTACGAGAGCAGCAGTCAGATCCTGTTACCTTCAGTTTCCGTCAATCGCACGTCAATTGTGTATGTCCCGGTCTGAACTAAACAGCAAAGTAATAAAGGGTTGTTATAAATGCGATGGGCTCTCTCAAATGTAATGCTCAAAGGAGTGCGATTTGCAAAAACATGGCTTTCCGCGTTAACATCTGCAGGTGACCGTCCGAAATTAAAGTACACTGTAAGTTGCTAGCTCGAGCGGCGACGAAACACACTGCCCATGATATGGCTACATACATGTACGTACCGATAAAATGTGTGAAATCACCGCACCGCGTCAAAGCTGTGTTGTACAGCTCTTTGGGGACGAGCGCCAGGTTCCCAAAGATTACGACATCCGTGGTTCTTTCAGAATGCTTCCACTGCACTTCCTCACAATACGCAGTTTCTTCGTGCTGATACCGCGTGGTCCTGAAAAACACTGTGTTCAGAAATTTAATCCACCTGCAGGAGAAATATGTACTTCAGTCGATTCTTTAAACTGGTCAGTCTGAATTTTGCGCCAAAGGCGATGCATGCCAATTCGGTCTTCGCGTGTTTCTTCGTCACCATGTTAAAGCACAAGACTTTCGCGACGCTCTTGGTAACTTCTTCGGATAACATTTTACGGTCAACTGCAAACAGTCAGTTAATAAATGTATGCAGTATCACACTGGACACTCACTTTAATGTGTAAAACCAAAAACAGAGCATACTTGTAGTGCGTATTATCCATACTGCTTTCTCCTCATTGGTGATAGTGTCGCTGAATCGAGCAGCTGCGCTTCGGACTGCAGCACCCAGCTGCTGGTTTTCAGTCTCTACCTCCTTGAACTGGTGCAGGTTAGCCGATCGTGCAATCCTGCAGAAAAACGATATGTTGCGGTTTTCGTTAATGCCAATGGATGCAACGATTGGATCGTGCGGGATTCAGATCGCAACGAGTAGAAGCAGCCGAATTACAGTAGTTCTGCCGTAATCCACAGAGCTAATCCATACTCCCTAATAAACTGAGCGATTCATTTATCACAATTCACAAAAAGTCGATGGCGGCCAGACGCCAGGCACTTGGAAGTGCAGTTAACATCAGCACGTAACACAGTATTTCTGCGCTTACCCCGGGGGAATCGTCATCGCATCAGGACCTTTTATCAGGGATGAACTTAAATACTCGGACCACAGCTCGTACCTCACGAACGCAGTTAGCTGCTGGATACAACAGGCCAGCAGAATACAAAATACATACGAAATACAGAAAGTCTCTTCTAAGGGTGTTTTTAATAAATTACTGGCCAACGGAAAGTGGAAAATGTCAAAACTGATCAAATTAATCCCTGTTAATCAATCTGTTGCTCGTTAGGCATGGATTCCGCAGATACAAATTCAAAACAAGTACTATTGTTTGGGTCCTTCACACTCACAAGCATATTATGCGGGATTGATTTTGACAGCTGCTGGCAGAGGACTTACGAGTACTCGTAGTATCGTGGCACTATTACTCGTATTAACAGGCAGAACAGGCATACTAGCTTCTTGTACGATGACAGCAACTGCTAAAACTGATAAGTGTGGAGTCTACGTAGATTTACGTAACATCTTTCTCTCGTTCTGATCAAACACAATGGAACTTGAGCGAGTACAGTACGTACCATGTATGCAGCAGCTTCAGCCGTGCACAAGCCAGGCTACAAACTGACCATAAATCGAAACAGCGAAAAATTAGATATGGCACAGTTCGTACACGTCTATTTTCTGGATCA